CAGAGTACTTCAATTTAGCCATGGGAAAAGACTTAGGACGGCCATTGCAAATGACTCCAAATATCTTTGTTTTTGGAGAAGAAACCTGTCCAACTTATGTATCCAAAAAGTAGACAATAGTATTATCTATTGACCTTTTCTGCATGGGAAACTTTCCTTTTAAAAACCATTGGGTTTTCAAATTTCCTACAGCTGTTCCAAGTGCAACCAATCCCTGTACTGAAGAAATGGACATATTTCCCATAAAATATCCTAATGGTTTTCTATTCATGATGCTGAATAGAAGATCTGTGTTCTCTAACTGAAGTATTATGCCTCTGATGAAGCAGTGACATTTGGAGTAGGAACAGAATGTGTTTCTAATCTTTGCTTGCATTCTCACTCACTGGCAGTCACCACAGTCTTATCAACTGGAGTAAACTGTTTAAAACTTAATGGAATTGCCAATTCATCAGTCATCTTTCTTCATTGTTTTAAAGTCAATTAGTTTGAATCAGGGCTATGCTAAAGACTGTTGAATTTCCAATAAGTGTATTTATAAGGTTTCTCAAATATTACATTCATATTTTACTATACCTAAAATTCTTATAGGTTGCTATAGTCACATAAATACAGCTACTTAAATAGCATGAATAGCAAATGTGTCTTACAGCACATTTGAAGATATAATGAAGATATAATATTCAAATGTAAAAACAAAATGATCACATGTAGCTATGTATTATGGACAAAACTGTCCAAGCAACTATTCCTAGCTAAATCTATTTCACAGAACAACAAACAGATTTTTAAAAACTGGTGTTACACAACCCCATCTAGTAAATCTTACAAATATTACACTATGCATTAGGACACTTGGATGGGTTTGAGGTTGCCTCTTATAAATTGCTTCTTACATCCAAACCCAAATGACTTATTCTTTAACCCTAAATTATGAATTTAGACAAGAATTTTCTAAATGGACTTCTTCAAAAATTATGGAACAGTCAATTTAAAATCATATTTGAAGTAGTGTTCCATGGTAGATATTACCATAACTTGGTTATGTGATGTGCAAAATGACAAGTATATGTACAGTAGTTATCATTATTAACAGGACTGCAAATGGCATTAGATCTGGAGCAAAGACAGGGGTATTGCCTACCCCAAAAACTCTCTTAGTCAGCTTCTCAGTGGACTGTCTGAAAGGCAACAGGAAAGAAGAGTTAAAAATAATTATTGCCTAGAACTTAATGGTGGCTGACTGGAGGGAGGCATCTGACAATGGTGGTGGCAATAGTAAGTATTACTATAAGTTACACAGCAGGGAGGATGAAAAGAGGCTGTGTGGGTGCTGCCTGAAATCAAGTTAAAAACTGCTTTTTCCAGCTTGAAACATTCCATTCAGTACGTTCATCCCACAAGAAACTCTTGGTGCTTCCACACCTTCACATGTAGAATGAAGACAAAGCCAGGAAGTATTATTGTTTGTATGAACACAACCATAATATACCACAGTCTCTGTCTGGAAATCAAACATACCTTTTATGAACGCTCTTGAAAACAAACAGGGAGCTCCAATGAGCGCTGCAGAGATGTTCTGCACAACATTTCAAGAAATGAAATTGCCAATGTCCAAACCAACTTTTCCATTAGAAACAATTGCAGCAAACTCTGGTTTTTGTGCTCTCATGTTCCTGAATCCTGTTTGCTTCTTGTTTGTTTAAACAAACCCCAGTTTGTTTACCCCAAACCTGCCTAAACTCTGTGAGGCCTGTACTCCTGCAGCATATTGAATTGTACACTTTCAAATTGTGGATTGTCTGTCATACAAGACCTTACTCACTTTTTAAACATTCTGTGAGTGTGTGAATAGGTACACTTGCTAGCTTACTGACTATAACCATTTGCCAGGACATTCTTGCAAAGCAGTTCAGGGTGTGCGGCCACAGTTAAACAGAGCTGAAAGCGATAATAGTTAACACTATTGTTACCCTGAAATCACAAATTCTGCCTTTTGAAATGTCAGCTTGGTTAGAGAGGGAGAGAAGGTCACAACAACTCTACGAGGTCAGTTGGGCTGAGAGAGAGAGAGTGACTGGCCTATATTTCTTTCTCCTTTCTTGGAATGACACTGGAGTTTCTTCAAGGCAGTCAAAAAAGTCAAGATAGCATCCATAGTTGTATGATTGAAAGCCCACCCTTTTCATGTGTGTTGTATACACAGCTGGAATAACCTTCACAATAATTACAATAACAATGTGGAGTCCAATGCAGTTGAGTGGCCAATAAATTTAAATAATAATCTGAAGGATGGTGAAGAAGATGCACTGAGCTAGTTACACCATGAAGGCTTACTGAATACTCAAGAGATGAAACTGGCCTACAAAAAAGACCAAAGGAAAAAGAGAAAAGAGACATGACAAGGCAAAGTATGGCATGGCCAGTACAAAAAAAAAAGCAGGCAAAGCAGATAACAATGACTGGCAATAAATAAGAACAGGAAAATTGAAAAAACAGAGGAGTCAGTTCTGGCTGCACAAGACCAAGCCTTAAGAACAAATGCATACAAAGCAAAAATTGAGAATATATAGCAAATAATGCCTCTGTAAAGGAACTGAAGAAACAGTGAACCCTCTAGTCAGCTTCTTAAAATCACACAGATTGACTACAAACAACAACATGGCAGAAGTTTCTGAAGCACCGAAGTCTCTGCTAGAAATGCCACTTACCTGTAAGCAAGAACTGATGGGACTACAAAATACACAAAGCAATAGAAAATGAAAAAGCTTAAAGCAATCTGGAATTTTAAAATGCAAACAGACAATTATTAATAAAAGAAGACAAAATAGTCTGGACAGTGGACACTGTAATACTTGGAGGCAACAGAAACCAAAAGAAAATTGGAGACATTTACAAAATACCAGGACTTGTAAGTAAAAGGATTGTGGAAAAGAAAGCAAAGATAGTGCCAATAGTCATAGTCATCTTGGGTAGAATCCCAAAACATCTGGAGCACTTTAACACCATCATGATTGACAAAATCATCACAAATCAATTGCAAAAGGCACCTTTACCTGACACAGCTTATATCCCGTGACAATAACTTTAACATCATCAAATAACATCTGCTTATCCCAGGTGCCTTGTGAATAAAAATGCCAAGTCTAATCTAAACATCTGGTGGAGTATCTGACCAGTCGTGATATATAAATAATATAGTGTGTATCTTTTGAAATATAGCCAGACATTTACATATACAGCTAAGGAATACACTTTCTTAGCACCTTTGAACTTACTGATATTAAAACATCAAGGGCAACATTGTATGCCTAAAATTATCAGGAATTATAATGGCAAAAAATACCCTTATTTAATATAGTAAATCCCACTTGGATCATTAAAAGATATTTTCATTGATGTTGGGATTACTAATGTACTTTAAAATAAATTGGATCCTAGTTTTTGTAAAGGGGTAAACCTATAATTTGTAATAATGTGGGATAAATACATTTTGCTTAGATATAAATCAGTAATTCTATGGTATACTACAATAATCTTCACTATACAGCGGGGTGGGACTACCATATCTTTCGCTACTTTTGTTTTCTTCAGTTGGACTAATAGGTATTCTTTCTATAATATACATTTAAATTTAAATTTAAATCTATTTAAATTTAGAAAGTTGATACATAAGCATGGAAAAAATTATCTTCCCATTTTCAAGGGTTTTGACAAGTTTGTTTTTTCTTATATCCTGATGTACCGAGTTCCTCTCAAGTTCCTATTTAATACAGAGGTTTATATTTTGGAAATCTATGTTATTGCGTTGTATAAATTATACACAAACATGAAACAAATGACTGTAAGATGTATCAATGGTTATTTGCTGCATTTCCCCCCTGTGGATTATATAGTCTCTACCAAAACCGAGCATCTTCATCAAGATATAACTAGGGAGTTTCATTATAGCTACTCTTGTAGGAAGATATGTGGTGATAGGCAGCATGCAACCTGATATTTATTCTGAAGTTAATTTTCATTTTTGCAATCTATATTTACACACCAATAAATGTAATCATGTAGATAAAACAGGTTTAAAAATAACTCAATGTAAGACAGATGAAGCTGTCTAAATATTAATTTAATAATACCGGGCATACAGTCATACTCAGAAATATTTAGAAGTCAGTCTCACCAAATATAATCCAATTGCTTCTGAGTAAAAATGCATCTCTACTTATAGTCTGAAAATGGTTTAATAAATGTACTCTTTCCCAGAGATACTGGCTGAAAGCTGGGTGTGGCCATGTATTGTAGTAGCCTACTATCACCAGCATTTAGTAACATGCATTTTTTTTTAAAAAAAAAGGGGGGGGGGAATAATTATCTAGCTTTCTGTAGTTTTTTACCTGTCTGATTAAATATATTTGAGATAAATCTCAAAAGATCAGAAAATACCTGCTGTCAAATTCAGAAAAAGCAAGGTGCCATACCCAACCATTCATTCACAGTATTCTCCATCACAACGGTATTATTATCTTCTTAAAAACACAGAGCATGATACCACAAAACTGAGATTGCAAGGCATAACAATAGTAATTAAAGAAATGGGCACCAATGTGTTTTTAAAAGCCCTTTTGTTCACTGCAAATTGGGATTAATGTTTGGTATTGTTTAATGTTTAACAACACTCAAAATCTGTGTTCTTTATCAGCAAATTAGCTATTTATCAGCAATGACAACAAACCACTACTACAGCCTTTACACACCAGAGACTTCTACCCGCCATAATGTCTTTAATGATTACACTGCTGTTACTGCTTTCTTTTTGCGGAAATATCACACAGGACCATCCACCAAAAACATAATCATGTTTTACACAACATGAAAATCACAAATGGTATGAAAATACAAAGGTTGAAGGGCTGCTAGACCTTACACCTTCGTTCTTAAGACTTCAGACCACTCCTACTGCCTGACTCTTCTATCACACATCTTGCTTTTCCCATCTACATTACCTTCTTGGGTCTTTTCTTCCTCTGATTACTTCCATTATACTTCTCCCCACCATCACTCTTCTGAGCTGCATCTTCATTCATCATTTTGAATCCTTCTTCAGAGCAAAGAGCTGTGCCATTAAACCCTTGCAAACATACAGACTATCAGCAAATATGTCACTTACTGGATAGGGGGAGGGGTAGAGGGGAGGGAGGGAGGAGGGAGGGAGGGAGGGAGGGAAGAAGACATGAACATGATGACGTTGCTATGGTAGCAGCTACCACAACTGTTTATCTGACTGCATTGTTAAATCTGATTTATCCAATTAGCATAAGATCTTGGTTCTCTTACAGTACAAAATGTTTGAATTCAATGCACAGAATCCAGAATGGAACTGAGAAATAAGTATTTTGACAATAGAGGGAAAGAGAGATAGAGAAATATATAGATAAATATGATAAAAACCTTCATACAAATCTATCACACTACTGAGGGCACTATAGCAACTTCTTTCATTTTTATAAAACAAATTACATGTTTGCTATATTTTACCTTATTATACCTGTTAAAAATAAATTTCCTATAGTATTATTTCTTTTTGACTGAAATAACTTTTAGTACATTAAATTTGTATTGAATTAGTAGAACTGGTATAGTGTAATGGTTTTATGTTATTAGTAAATGACCGAAGTAATTATTTTATTTTGGTTTTTAAGTCCTCTAAATCCCACATTGAGCAATTACATCTGTGCTTCCTCCAAGATTAAAATAATATGGGAAACATTCTTACTTCAAGGTACTTTTTTCATTTTATTTTAGCAAAGGAATAATAACTATAAAAGCTGCCTATGATCCAATTTGTTATACTGGAATTGTAGTTTCTATGACCTTCCAGAAAGCTAGTTAGAAATTCTGAAAGATGATGCCAAAATAAAAGTGGAAGCTGGTTTTTTGAAGACAGCTTCGCTAGTAACTTCTGCTGTTCCACTCAATAGGTGGTCTCTTCTTAAACTTGATAATATTTCTCCAGATCTTGGTTACTTCAAGAAAAAAAAGATAAGTATTCAGAGAAGCAAATACACTGACCCAGTTCTGAATCAGTACAATCTGTCCCAACGTGTCAGTCCTTCAAATTAGATCAGATTGGAAAACCAAAAGTATGAATTCTAATACATTTATTATAATGTTACAGGAACACAATCTTGCAAATCTGAGTACATTTTCCCCATTCTTCCCTCTATCTGGATTGGACTGTACAGGCTCTATTATTATTATTGTTGTTGTTGCTGCTGCTGCTGCTGCTGTTGCTGTTGCTGTTGTTAATCACACAGTCAGCTAGATTTTTAGACTGGGTTTGGCATTTTTGTCTACCTATCGAGTCCTTACCAAGGACCTGAGATAGGTAAATCTGAATGTTTGATGGTGCTATAGATATCACCGCAGGATAGAAGCTGTTCCAAGTAAAGAAACCTTCTGCAATTGACTGATCGCAAATTTGTCAATGCCGATGGTATTCAAGTGGTGCTCCAGTTGTTTTGGGACTACACCAAGGGGGCCAATTACTATTGGTACTATCCTTGCTTGCCTTTGCCATAGTCATTCTATTTCTATTTGTAGGTCTTTGTATATTATTATTATTATTAATATTGTTGTTGTTGTTATTATTATTATTATTATTATTATTATTATTATTATTATTATTATTATTATTATTATCTCAGTCAACTGAACATTTAAAAATGTATCACAAATACCAGCGACTGGTGCTAATGGTTGATACGGGTTGCTGCCAGTGTCCAAGTATCTTCTTAAAATATATGATGTTCCGAGTTGCTCAGTTCTGCTGGTGTTTTTGCAAGAAGCTGCAATTTCTTTATGTGTTTTGTAAAATTCTTGGACATGGTACCAAGTGCCTCAATGACAATGGGTATCACTGTTACAAGTTTCATCCATAACCATGTAGTTTCGATGGCCAGGTTGTGATATTTTGTGATTTTTTTCCAGTTCTTTTTCTTCAACTTTGGTGTGTTCTGGTACAGCGATATCAATAAATTATACGCTTTGGCCCTCAACAACTGTAATATCTGGTGTGTTGTGTTCCAAATGGCAATCAGTCCGTATTTGAAAGTCCCACAGGATTGTCATTGTCTCATTTTCAACAACTTTTTCCACTTTATGTTCCCATGACTTTTCAGATATAGGTAGGGCATATTTTTTACATAATGACAAGTGGATTATTTATTATTTATTTTTATTTTATTTGGTTTGTCAATTGCTTACAAGATAATAGGTATAAGTAAAAACAGTTATGAATACATGGATACATATAAGAAAAATAAAAGAAACAATAGGACAGGGACAGTAGGCATGGTGGTGCGCTTATGCACACCCCCTACAGACCTCTTAGGAAAGGGGTGAGATCAATAGTAGAAAGTCTAAGGTTAAATTTAATTTAAGTAAATTTAAATAAATTTAAGTTAATTTAGCAACTCGATCAGGTCTAACTTTGTAGTCAGTTTGCGTGATTTTGCTGCACTCACATATTAGGTGTGAAACAGTTTCGACTTTATCATCACAAAGTCGGCAGTTTGGATTGTCAGTGGATTTTTGTATCCTCGCTTTCATGGCATTAGATTGTAGTGCTTGTTCTTGAGCAGCAAGTATTAAACCTTCCGTTTCTTTCTTGATGGTTCCTCTCTTAAGCCATGTCCATTTTTCCTTATATTCTCCCTTTGTTTCTGTTGTTTTTATAATGTTCTCCATTTTCACAGCCTGCAGCAATTTTTCTGTACATTGGTTTACATAATCATTCAAGCTTCATTTTTCTTCTACAGCTTGATGGATTTGCAATAGCCCTCTGCCCCCTATTCTTCTTGGCAGGCATAACCTGTCAATGTCACTTTGTGGATGTAAAGAGTGGTACATATTCAAACATTTATGCATTTTCCATTCCAGGTTGTTGTTGTTGTTGTTGTTATAGTAATATCCTAGGGGGCCATGGTGGCACAGAGGGTTAATGACGCTGGAATTGCAAGATAGAATATTGGTTCTGTAAAACGGAGTGAGCTCCCGTCGCTTGATTCCTAGCCCCTGTCCACCCAGCAGTTTGAAAGCATGCAATGTTGTGAGTAGATAAATGGGTATCACTTCAGTAGGAAAAATCAAGCTGCATTTGTGTGCGCAGATAGCAGAAACTGGCATTGAATCTGGCTAGATGAAAAGCATTGTGGATGAGGTGAGGTGAGACTCACAACCTAAGCACCACTAGATAGCTAGTGTAAAGCTAATGCACCCCCATGGTACAGCAAAGATAGGCACATAAGTACTGAACAGAATGAAGCAGCACTCTGTAGCATGTGTAGATTTCCATGACATTGTATGTCATACACTGAATTATAAATAATAAGTATTATTTAAGTATTATTATTTATAATATATCCTGCTATTTCATATAATCGCCAATGCAGGCAACAGTTTACCTAGAAGATATTAAGGTATATCAGGAAAACTAGACTGCAATCCTTGAACCCTACAAGCCCCAAAATGTACATTTGAATATGAAACAGGAAAACGCCATTGGAATCTGCATTTGCAAGAGGGGCAGGGGAGCTAATGAAGACATCCCTTCTCATTGGCAAGAAAACTGTTGGTGGCCCACAGTCATGGCAAGATAAACTGAAAAGGCAACTTAAGTTTTCTCTACTGATCGGAATTAAAAATCAACTGAATCTTTTATTCTTTCTTCCACTGCCTGAAAGAGAAGATTTTTTAACTAAGGCAAGCTAGCATTTAATGAAATAAAATACTTTGCAGAATTTATCTCTCATTCTGTAGAAGTAAGTAGTCCCATAAGACTTTTCAATATTGACTATTGAAAACAAAGATGGCTTAATGGAAAATAGCAAATACAGAAGGGAGACCGTTTTATCTATATGTCAGCAGCAGAAGAGATAGTGTTCCTATCAACCTTCGATAATAGCACCACTGTCCTTGTACTAGACTGGAAAACATTTCTGAACATTTTCCAGCTTTTTTATCAGTATTATATAAAATTCATCATTGCATCATGTTTTGTTCCATAACACTTAGTGAAATTGGTAATAAAAAAAAGACCAGGAAATGCTACACAATCTTTCATTATCATGAAGTATAAAGTTTAAAATGGTAAAACACGTTAGATTTCTTTCTACAAATATGGGCATATATACATACACACACACACAATCTCTGTATGTGTGTGTATAATTTCATTAGATACTTTGCATAAATACAAGATACGAGTAGTCCTTGAGTTACAACCACAATGGAGCTTGCCCATCACGATCATAACTTATGAAGGTCATAAAGCAAGTCAGTCATATAAGAAGCCCAATTTTAAAAACTTTTTGGTGACAGTTGTTAAGCAAGTCCACAGTTGTTAAACGAACTAATGGTTTTCTATGGATAGGGATTTACCAGAAGCAAATGTAAAGCTGTCACAAAAAAGGGTCATGTGAGATGCTGCTAACAGCTGAAAATCTGGCTTAGTTGCCAAGTGCCCATAGTGCAATCATGTGACTGGGGGGGGGCAGTGACCTTTAGAACTTTAAATCCAGATCATAAGTATTTCCAGTAGATCTATTGGACCTTCAAACAGTTGCTAAGCGACTGATCATAATTAAAGGAACTCCTATACGTATATTTAAAAAAATGAAATATCAAAGAACTGTGCCTCTGCCAGCCAAAATGGGCTGGCGGGGGGGCTCATGCAGCACTCCAACAGCACTCTGCCAGCCAAAAATGGGCTACACGGAGGCCCCGCGACCCCACTTTGTCACCAGTTTTCGATCTCCCTGGCCTCCAGCAGAGTGCTGGCCAAAACCGGCAGATATCCTCAGTATCAATTCTAAAGGAGTCATATGTCATGCCAGGTACGGAATTGTCTGCTAAAGTTCCACCTTTAAGAAATATAGATAGATAAGAGCAGAAGATATCATTTTTTAAATTCATATCAGCACAAGGGACTACAAACCCAAGTGAGGTTTTTAAAGTCCACCCTTCGACCAAATCTCACTAAGGTTTATTGGAACAATTTCCAAAATTAGGACACAGTACTAAATTATATTGCTCACATTTACATTTTATTCTTTTCTTAAAAGCACCT